CGAGAACCTCTTTAAAATGAAGTCGAGTGCACGTTTGAAATTATGAAAAATGTAAACTGTGAAAAAATGTGTGCAGATGGAGATTCAGCGTTTTCATGCCTAATTTTACTGGTCGAGTTACGTGCACAATCGCGGTTCCCAATTGTCATCCGAAAACGCTAAAAAAACATAGACAAATGCACGGTTAGTTTTTGTCTACAGCTTATTTTACAAAAGAAGTAGGCGTTTTTCGTGCATAATATTAAACGCTGGTAAATATTTTGCCGTTTTCATGTTGGTTCTTTTTGAACGTTTCCGGGTCACAAACGGGAACCGCGATTAGCATCCGAAAACGTTCACGATTTTTATAGTGTTTAAACGCGTTTTTTGATTTTTTTGCTTGACTGGGTAATTCTGAGAAATATTTGTTTGAAAATAATTATATTTTTCCATTCGCAATAGTTTTTGTAATTAAAAACTTAATGTCAATTAATTAGAATAGAAAATAATACATGGATATATAATCTCAAAAAAAAAACTAATAATAATAAATACTAGCATGTATTAGAGATCGTCCTTTAGAACTGTACGAAAACTATATTCTGTTTAATACATATTTTGAAGGATATTATCAACTTGAGTTAGTAAATTTATACAGATGAATGAAACATACTTTCATGTGTGTATGTCAGAAAAAGAAAAAGTGCGACTTCAATACTTTGCTTGTACTTCACTTCTACTTCGCAGTACTTAAATCATGCTTTTTTCCTCTCTTGGTCTATATACTTATATCCATCTAAATTTTTGTTTTATTCATAACTTTGATCTATTTATAGTTCTTCGTAAGTCTACTAATTATTTTCAATAAAATTACTAAGATAAGAAAATCTAAAAAAAAAAAGAATGATAGAATCAACATCTCTAACGATACCGACTATAAAGATGTAACTAAGTTAGTTTTACAATACAGATGTTATTGAAAATAAAATTTCTTTTGTTACCCTTGAAAATAGGATGTTCCATAAGCTGATGATAAACTTTTTCCAATAGTTGTTGTTAATCCTGATGAAGTTCGTTGATAAGGAGCAACAATACCGTTTGACATAGCATCAATACGACCATTGACATAGATTTGTTGTTGATATAATACTGCATCATAAACAACGGTCAAATGTGTCCAGTCGGAGTTTGAAATTAGAGTTGAACCAATTAATGTACTATTAGTATTCATTGAATCAAAAGAAAGTGTAAAACGAGCATTTCTTAAACTGATTGAGAGACATTTTGAATTTGAATCACATTGACAAAATATTCCATGATCATCTAATATGGGAGAACTCATTGGATACAACCAAACTTCTATGGTAAAACTTCGTTCAGCTAAATTAACATTTGGAATTTGAATATATTGAGAATAAGCAGAACTAATATTTAATGCCTGACTACCAACATAAGAGTTGGTGACATAATTAAGTGTTGAAGAACCCAATGGTGTTCCTGTTGCATATCCTGTTAAGTCATTAGAATTTCCATCAAAAGGATAGAGAGCTGTAACCATCGAAGAACGATAAGATGTTTCTTGACCAATACATGTTGTAGTAGAACAGACGGATTTAGTCATATTGGTAAATGAAGCTGATAATGAAATCGTAAAATATTTTTAATAATTTTCTTTTTCCAATTTCTTACTTACATTGTGAATTTGTTCGACTAATGACAAATACATAGACAGGTGGAATAATAGCAATAAGAGCTGCGCCAATAATCAGTAGAAAAATAATAGTTAGTTTTAAAAAATTCTTTTGTTTTGGAGTCAAATTACTACGCAAAGAAGAAACAATCATTTGTATCTTTTGTTTTTAAATGACTAACAATCAAGAGATAAATATTTTTAGCACAAAAAGTAAATACAGTTAATCGAATTAGCATATATCAAATTTTTCAAAACCGTCTACATGATAGATCAATATCGATAATTGTGTATTACGTCAAATGTCTTAAAGAATACTTGCCAAGCAAAAATATGTATATTGTAGTACTCTTTCCAATAACTTGAACTTTCATTTAGTGTGCTATTAAATAGTTTAAGTCATCATCTATTAGTTTGACATATCAAAAAAATTGTTAATTAAGTACTTTTTTTTGCTAGTGAAGATTGAGCTATTCTAACAATTTAAAAGTTAGATATTAAAGCTGCTGATACATTCCACGCGCCCGTAAGAAAATCATCTCAGAATAAAAAACAATTACCAATGATATTCTTTGATATTTTTCTCCTCGCTCTTTCAAAAACATAAAACAAAAACTTCATCCATCATCTACGAATGTTTTCGTCCGAGCAGAGATAGAACTGGTTCGATTTACAGTATCCCAAATCAATTTCGGCTTTAGTTCAGTTCGATTTAAATTTCGAAAAATCTGCACCCATCTCGTCTCTGCTTCCAAAGTCATTTGTTAAAGTTTCCTTGATGAAAATAATCTATTTCATCTTATATCGACTAATTATAGTTTTATCATGTTAATTAGATGAAAATATCAATTAACTTACTTCAGACATCCATTAGCATCATCACCTGTTTGTTGTTTTATTTTCGAACTTTTTATCTCATTAAAATTCGGTGAAGAAGATTTGTTCAGAGTAGGAGTTGATGTTGTATTTGTATTACTATTATCATCAGAGCTTCGTAGTGTTGTTGTAGTCGTTGTCGGTGTTTCCAAAGATTTTTGTTGAAATAGAACAGATGACCGAGGTTCAGATATTGGTGTCTTAGTGTTTGAAATGGAAGGAATAGATTCTTTATTAAAAGTTGGTTTCACCTAAATGAAAAAGCGTATAATTAAATCTCATATTGGTAGTGTCATACTTGTTGGGGTCCAACAACTGATGAACGTAACACCAAAGATACCAGAGGCTGTTTTTTAGGCAGAAATTTTTTACCTTCAGCCATACTCGACTACTTAGAGGATCAAGCTACTTTTCTATAGTTATAATAAAAAATGAGTCGACGAACAAAAAAACAAATTGTATTTTTATTTTTATCATTTGTAAACAATATGATTAAATCATGACCGAAATCGTATATATTTTGCTATTTTTATAGTTTTATTCAATGTGATTAGTTTTTTTATCTAGCACAATTTGTTTACTGTTTCTTGTGACCCTTCAAATCAATTCATCGTTAATAGTCTTCTAGACGCATTATTCTTCTGATAGAGTTTTTTCTTATAAATAAAATCAATAAATGAATATTTTCAAACATAATTAACAAATTCGTGCAAAAATTCTATGGATAGTTAGTTTTATCAATTCAGTATGATAAAAATTTCTTAATGAATAAATCAAATAGCAAAACTTGTTTAAATATTTATTAGGAAGATTTTTTTGGAATAGAAATTATTTATAGAATACTATATAATTGAATATAAGTATTTCTCCAACTTTATAGAAACCAATAATCTGCAAAGAATTTTTTTTTTATTTAATTTTCATAATCAATCGTACATGAAGATGAAAGAAGACATAAAATATAATATATCGATAACATTTTTCTCTCATGAAATCAATCTACATACCAACTAGTTACATTCCTTCTCTCCTTGTTTCTCATGAATACTTAGAATTTTGTAAACACATGTTCTCTTCTATTTTACAGAAGAATTTTCCATTAGAAAATAAATACAAAGTCAAAACGATTGTTTTTGTAGATCCATCTTAATACAATTAGAATCACATAGAAGAAAGAAAGATCTACAAATCAGAGAACGTCTTTTTTGCCAAGTAAAACTTGTACATATCTTGTGTATGCATAATTTCTTGACAAAAAAATAATTAGATCTTTTAAAATAGCAAAAGTATACATTTCAAAATTGTTTTGATTGTTTCTTATAAAGGACCCGGGTTGTTAAAGCCATTTTTTCGATGTATGAAAGTCTTTAGTAATTGTCATACGACGAGTACAACCTTGACACAGGCTAAAGCTCTAATCTGGTTATTTATCATAACATGGTTTTGAGGCTTCAGACCGTTTTATCTCTCGAGAGAAATAAGATGAACATTTTTTTCGAAATTTAGTTTTTGGACATTTCTTGTATGGCAAATTTGACCTTGTTGATTGAGGAATATCTATATCAGAAAGCTCAGAAATGTAACATTGAAGTATAGACTAAGTCTTTCTGACGAGGTCACATATGTAAGTGTAAAATCGCTTTTGAGTCGGGACTATGTGCATCATGTAGGCGTTAGTGAGACTAGAAAAAACCCAAAAGGATAAGGGCTGCTAGACCTATCTTCCCGAGTTATGACGGTTTTATTGAATTTTTTACCCAATGCAAGGTACTTCGA